CCATCCAGATGGTATACTCTGTCAGAGACTCTGCTTGCCCCTGGCCTGGGGCAAATGCCCAGGCCTTATTCTAGAGAGAGTTCTGCATGGGGCCACCTTTGGCTTCTCTTGTTCCTCCCGTTTGGAATGCCTTGTGATCTCCCCTATAAACTCTCCATCCTTCGAGGCCCAACTGAAATCCCACTGCCTCTATAAAGCTCTCTCTGTCTTCTGCAGTCATTCCATTCAATTCATCACTTGTCTCCTTTGTGCTAGGCACTGTGCTAGATCCTGGGGAAAGACAAAAAGCACAACCACCTCTGCCTTCAAGAAGCTTCTATTCTACCAGGTACACACAATGTGTACCGCAGAGAAGAAAATGCAAAGCACATACAATGGTATGCTTAGACAAAGTGGTATCTAAGCTATATTTTAAAGGCATCTAGAGATTCTAAGAGGCAAAGGGAAGAAGACTGCATTCTAGACAAGGAGAAAGAGCTTGGGCAAAGGTCTAGAGGAGGAAGGTAGAATGGCACGGATGGGCAACAGCTAGTAGTCCAACGTGCTGGGGACACAAAGTACACGAAATGGAGTAGTATCTGATTAAGACTGAATAGGTAACTGGGAATCAGACTGGGAAGGATTTTAAAGGTCAGACTGAGGCTTTGCACTTTGTCCTAGGGGCAATAGGAAGCCACTGAAGCTTCTGGAACAAAGCACATTAACTCTCCCCCCTCCCCCCAACTTCTTTATAGTTTCCTATCTCTGCTACAACGGGTCATGATTGAAAGTACTCCTGGTTTTCTTTGGTGGCTCCATGTGGATTGGGATTGTTTCCCCAGCTAGATTAAAAGTTCCTAGAGGGCAGGAGCCATGACCAGGTCATCTCTGTATGTCCAACAGCACCAGGCCTTAGATGGACAGATTCATTCCTTGTTGGATGATTGACAACTGAGAGGCTTGTCTTTGGGGGAAGGACAGTTGGCATTTCTGCTAGTGTGGTATCAAGGAACAGGTAAGAATCAGGAATGTTGAGAGCCATTGGCCACCCCCCCACCCCCCCCCGAAATCCCAAGCTTCCCTCCAGGCAGAACTCCCAATACCACCTGTTCCATGACACCGTCCTGATTTCTACTCCACTTCCTAAAAGCCACTCCCTGAAAGTATTAGCACTCTCTCCCTCTTGAACTGGCATTCATGTTTAGTTACTTGTGTTCATGTCAAATCAAATTAGTCCCCACTTCCCTAGCCAACAGAATGTAAGGTCCTTGAGAACAGGGACTGCTTCCATTTTGTTATTGCCTAGCAGAGCACACGGTAGATACTCAATGATGATTGGTTGAGTTGGATTGAATGGCAAGGGCCAAAAGGGCCCCTCCTTCTCCCCTGGCCAGCCAAGCAGTTTTGGTAAATGATGTGTCAGGTTGTAGAATCACTGTAGTCTCCGTGTGAAGGGTGCTTTGTCCCACTAGCTGTCTTTGTGCTTTATTGGGAATAAAGAACAGTAAATCACTAGCAGCTATTATCTGCAGAGGGTGAGTCACTTGATATATGAGCCCAAAGAGCCAAACCAAGTGACACATTCATCTACAGAAACCCTTTGCTTTCCTGGCCTTGGATAGGGATGAGGGACAAACTAGTGCTGGCCGGAGCAGCTGGGATCTGGAGAAAGAGGACGTACCCCGGTGGTCCACTGATCACCTGCATGAAGATCTCTTACAAGGAGAGGATCGTTCACTTGTGGCCTGCAAGAGCCCATAGAACTCTGCTAGCTCAACCTTGTCGTACAGTCTTAATGGGGTGGAGGCAGCTGTTCCTGTGACTCCAAATGCAGACTTATTTTCTACTGTCTCTTTAGCACTGATCCATCATAAAAGTTGTCCTGGCTGACTGGAGAATAGAGAATCACAGAGTAGGACTGCACCACCTGGAAGGAAGCACTTAAGGCCTAAGGCCCCAAGGGCAGCCCCAATCTTCACTGGTAGTTCTTGTTCCCTCTGCCTCAAAGAATCTCTATTTACTGTGTGCATGTCATACTGACCCCCCCCCCACACACACAGACAGAATATAAGCTCCTTACTGGCAGGGCCAGTTTGATTTTTGTTTGTGTTTATTGGATTGTCCTCCTACTGCACTTACTTGGTATCTTAGGACCAGAACAAGACTGGGAAGAGGCTTAGCCCCTTAATTTACAGATAAAGGGATTGAGACACCTAGAGGTGAAGTGACTTGCCCAAGGTCACACAACCAGGGAGTGGCAATGCCAGACTTGAACTCAGGTCCCCCAACTCAAGATGCAGTGAGTGCCCTTTTCCACCAGATCATATTGACTTTCAGTGTCCTACTTGCCTGGTGCTGAGCATGGGCAGCCTGGGATTGTTGGCAGCTTTCAGGGTCACAGAACTTCTCTTATTTATGTCTCTCTCCCTAGGCTGGTGGCACCATAGAGCACTGGGCTGGAGTCGGGAAGACTTAGTTCAAATCTAGTCTCAGACACTTCCTAGCTGTGTGATCTTGGGCAAGTCACTTAACGTCTCTCTCTACCTTCGTTTCTTCATCTGTAAAATGGGGATAATAATACCAACCTTGCAAGGTTGCTGTGAGGATCAAATGAGATAAATTTGTAAAATGTTTAATCCAGTGCCTGACACATAGTAGGCACTTAATAAATGCTTGTTTTCTTTTCTTCCCTCCCTGGTGCCTAGCACAAGTCCCTGAGTCCACTGGGTGTTTAGTCTGGGGCTTACAGTGAGGGTAGTGCTGGGAAACATCCAGCTTGGAAAGCTCCATTTTAGCTGGCTCAGGAGAAACCCTGGTGCTCCCCTCCCCACCCTGGGGCTTCTGCTCTGCCAGCCCAGCCGCTTCCTGTCTTGGCCACCGGCCCTGCTGACTGTGGCTACCTGGGTCACCTTTTTCACCTGGTCTGGGAGTGTTCCTTCAAAGGGGCAGCTGGAGCCAGTCGCCTGGTATGCAAAAGTCTGGTCCTACTCTGCAAAGCTGTCAAGATTGTGGCTGTTGCTGGGGAGTGGGGAGCCACCGGGAACTCTATAGGACCTCATCCCAACAGCAGAAACAAGAAAATCCCAGGGACCACTCCCTCCCCAAACAATAAGTGGCGAGCAGCACACTTTCCCCTGCACTTTTTTCTCAGCCTGAAAGGATGAAGCCAGCTAGGTTTGGATTTGTGGGGGCGTTAAAGGTAATGAACAAGAAACTCAGGTAAAATCCCATTGTAGCAAATACCATTACAAGGAAGAGTTCCATAATAGGAAAGCCATCAGGGCTTTGTTAAGCTGATTACAAGTCATCTCATCCAAGTACTTTCTCTGGTCCCCCTCCATTTAATAGTTCTCTATAATGAAAGAGCTCAATTGTATGCTGTTTGCATGGGGAGCAGAGAGGGGAGTACATCCGAGCACCTCCCAAGGCTGTTGCCTTGTGGCCAAGTCAAGTTCACCCTTCAGCTTTGCTCGCTCCTTCCACCTCATAGGACACAAATGTTCAAAGCATCCACCCAGACAGACAGACCCAGCCTCTAGGAAAGGAGGCAGGGATGGAGTTATTAGATTCCAAACACGTCTACTCCTCTTGCTAATGTGCTCTCCGACAGGCTAAGTAGATGTTGGTGTTCATTTCCAATCCTGAAGTTTCTTTTTCTTTCAACAAGCTTTTACCAAGTACCTACCATGGAGTCCCTACCATGGAGTCGGTACTGGAAAAGGGTTTCCTAGCCCCTTGCTCCTTTCAACAAAATCCCTCTACTATAAAACAATGGAGACCCAACACAGCAAGCATTTATTGAGGTCTGCCCCCAAGAATGACCACTGTGGCATCATTGAGGGCAGCAATGGTTTTTCCCCAATCACTTTAAACCCTAAGGCCCAAAGTGATTAAATTGGGCTTTTCCAGTAGCTCCCTTGGTGAAGTAATGTGTGAGCCAACCCCCACCCCTCTAGCTTCCCAGGAAGCTTGGATCAGGCCACTGAGGGGCAGAATAATGATAGTGATGGTGTCTCCAATATTGCAGAGTGTCTGTTCCTGAAGGGTTCAAAGCCCTCTGCCAGCATTATCCACTTTGGGCTCCCAACTATGTTGAAAGGCAGGTGGCAGTGACAGACATTATTATTATCATCCCCATTTCACAGAATCAGGCCCAGGAGGAAGCATAGACAGGTTAAGTGACTTGCGAAAGGTCACAAAGTGACTCAGTTGCAAGGACAGAAATAGAATGAGGCTCTTGCTCTCTGTCTCTCCCTTTCCCCCTTCCCCATGAAGTATGTGCTGTCTGAAGAGACAGGTTTCTTCCAGGATGACATAGTAGAAGGACCCAGGAGAGCTAGGGGTTCCTGCAAGTTAAATACTTCCTCAGGATTACTGGAAGTGGCACAAATAGCCATGGAAAACAGCCTTATTTCCCCTCTACTACCTATCATGGGAGCTAGAGCCAGAAGGGATTTTAGAGATGAGCTGTTCACACATTTTTCCAGTCAAACTGGCCTGGCAGCTGTTCCTCACAAAAGCGCCTAGCTTTATAGACCATGTTTCCTCCCCACCTCTGCCTCACTGAACCTTCAGCCTTCCCTTCAAGATCCATATCAGTCAGGTTCTGCCTTCTACCTCCTCCTCCGATTTCTGCCCCTCCTCCACTTAAGATTCTCCTCCTCTTGACATTACTTTGCATAATTTCCTGTATACTTTCTATTTTCTTATTTGTGTGTCTATTGTCTCCCTCCATGGGAATGTAAGCTTCTCGAGGGTAAGGACTATTTGTATTGTTTTGTCTTTGTATTCTCATCACTTTGCACAAGTCCTGGCACATATCAGGTGCTTAAGAAATGTCTGAGTTGAATTCTTCATGTTTATCAGCTCTCCTTCTGATTCTCCAGGATGGTGTTTTGCATAACCTTAAGCCTTCCTACTTCCAAAACCCAAGGTTTCCTCTCCCTCCATGCATCGGTCTCTGAAGGCTTGAGGGGGAGGGAGAAGAGCTTTCCATCACCCTCTGCCCAGCATCCACTAACCTCATTGTGTAGAGAAGTGTCCCATTATCCACCAGCCTCAGCAGCTTATTGGGTGTGGTCATGTTATGGGCCACAGATTTCTTGCCATTGTGGAAGAAGGTATCTGGGGTCCAGATCTTACTGGCCAGAAGGTTGTTGAGTGGGAGGATCTTCATAGGCCCATCAAATTTGAGACGCTCATCATGCCAGGTCTGCCGGAAGAACACATCGATGGTATACTCCTAGGAAGGAGAAAAAGAGTCAAAAAAAGAAGACCAGGTTCTGAGTTCTCATGAGTATTTGTTATTTCTAATTCATAAATTCCAACTGATTCTTGTTCCTTCTGCTTATCTCAGGTCAGCACTAATCTATCGGATTAGTTTTAAGAGTTCCTTATGGCTTTTCAAAAGCCAACAGCTCAGATTTGGCCTGGATGATGCAACTGTAGACACTTTGACCCAATCTTACCCTTTCTGGAAGCTAGGTGGTGCAGTGGAGAGAGCACTAGACTTGAAGTCAGGAAGACCTGTGTTCAGATCCAGCCTCAGAAATTTGCTAGCTATGTGATCCTGGGCAAGTGACAACCTCTGTTTGCCTCAGTTTCTTCATCTGTAAAATGGGGGTAATAATAGTATCTACCTCCCAGCATCAGTGGAAGGATCAAGTGTGATAACACATGTAAAGCACTTTGCAAACTCTAAATGCCCTGTATAAATACTACCTATATTGGGATTTTTATTATGATATGCCCATCTCCTGGCTTGGTGACTTTGAGCAGACTATGTCCAATGCCTGGAATTGCTTCCTTGTGGCTCAGCTCAAGTGCTACCTCCCACTCTTGATCTGCCCAGTTGCTAGTGCCTCCCATATCCCATATTCACACCTGTCAGGTCCATCCCCCTTCTCCCCCCCCCCCCCCCCCCCCCGCCCCCATTGATCTTAAGCTCCTAGAGGGAATGGACTATTTGGTTTTTCTCTCTGTATTTCTGGTCCCTAGCCTGGTGCCTGAGCCCATTAAGTGCTAAATTAAGGCCCATTGTTATGCTGGTGACAATTAAGGGCTCCTCTTGCTGGGGGGCTTGGACGATGAAAACAATTCACAAATTCAATTCCACAAACATTGATCAAAGCCAACTTGGCTCAGGACACTGGGGTTAGGGGTGCAGAGATGAGAATTCAATTCAACAAGCATCTACTACGGTACTCCTACTACAAGGCACTGTGCCAGGTGGCTTTTACCAGTCCCTGCCCTCAGGAAGGTTTCATTCTACTGGAAAGCACAAAAGGTACAGAAGTAAGCAAGTGCCAAGTTCCTTCACAAGAAAGAGAGCACTAATGATTGGGTGTGATCAGGAAAGGCCTCATGGGGCAGGTGACACAGAGCTATGCCTGGGAGGAAGCCGGGGATTCCAAAAGGGATTCACCAAGAGATGAGAGAGGCCCTTCATATACTGATTGTCCAGCAGGAGGAATCACACATCTAGGATTGGGGAGGGGAGGGGGAATGGACTTTATGAAGCATCTAGTCTTACTTCCTCTATCTTACAGATGCAGAAAGGGAGAACCAGAAAGGGGAAGAGACTCCCTCAAGGTCACCCAACTAGTAAACAGCAGAGGGGGTACTACCTAAGTATTGGGGTCAGTGATGTACAAAGCAGAAAATCTCTTAATAGATACTTGAGAGTTGACTTAGTCCATACAATGGACCATGATAAAATATGGATTTTCCTAAAACGATGAGTCTTCTAAGTATGGAACAAACAAACTTGAATATAAAAAGTTTTGTTGGACTTGGTTTAGGGAAATTCAATTTATGCAAGTCATCGATAGAAATAGGGCTATTTTGGGACCCTGAGGACACCTTCTTTACTCTGCAGGGTGACACCAGCAGCCTGATCTCAAGATCGGAGGGGCAGAGAACTGGGCAGAAGTCCAACCCTGGAAGCTGGCTATGCAAACCAGCCCCTCTTCCCCTGGGTCGGCAGAGAGGTCAGGCTGCTTTCTCAACAGTTAGAAACCAAAACAGGCCCACCAAAGCAAGTATACAGTGTCCTGGGTACCTTCTCAGGGTGTTCCGAGCTATGGCACTGCATAGCAGAGACTCGGCAGCCTCCGTCCTGGGGAAAAAGGACTGCAGCCATTCTGCTATGCCAGCGTCATTATAGTGCTGCTTCAGCTCGAACACCGTCTGGTGCCCCAGCCCCCGAGAGCCTGCTTATGTACTGCTGTTGTCCCTGCCTCCCCCCACCCCAGCATTCCTGGCTCCCTTATTTTGAAACCTCATTTCTTTTTTTTTTTCTTGATGATTCAAATATCTCTAGGTACATACATATAGATTTCAAAGCACACACACGTACCTCCTTTGCTCCTAAAATCAGCTCTTGGAGGGCAGCAAGGCAGGGAACATTACCTCCATTTGAAAGATGAGGAAATAATAATGCCGACAGTAATCATAGTAATAATTTAAGGTTTGCCAAACACTGACATGCATTTGATCCTCACAACAACCCTGTGCAGTGGGTTCAATTATTAGTCCTGTACAAAGAAACTGAGGCTCAGTCTAAGAGGTTAGATGGCTTGCCTAGGGCCATATAGATTCCATGTCTAGTCTTCCTCACTTCAGTGCCAGTTCCCTATCTATTATGCCATGCTGCCAACAGGAAACAGAGGTTGAGGGGTCAGGGTGGATAGCCCCCTAGAGCACCCCCACTGGCAGGGCTTGCCATATTGTGAGGTATAGTCAGCCCAACTCTGAAGATGTGTGCCTCCTTCTAAAGCAAGGTGCCAGAGACTAGAGTAAAAGAAAAAGGGCAGGAAAGTGCTACCAAAGAGGTCCTGAGGGAGGCAAACCCTCCCCTTTCTTTTTTCTCCCTAGAGCAGGGGAAGGCTTGAAATTGACAAGCCAGCTTCCCTCCAATGGTCATGAGGCAGCTAGCTCATCAGTGTCAAGCCCAGGGACATCAGGAAATGCACCTGGCATGGTCCCTGGCCATAGTGCTAACTTGTTTTTAATTAGCATTATTTTTTTTCACTTTCCAGTCCTCAGGTATTTTGCATAACATTTTATAAGCCATTGTCAGGTGAAAATGGATGTCATCTGACTGTTCTTTAGAATGCCTCTGGTAATGTTTCCGAATACCTCCTAATTTCCCAGGCCTCCATTTTATTTTCCTTGTTAAATAAGATGGTCAGGCTTCTGATTGGATTGTGGACTTACAACACCACTTTGGTGTCCTATATAACCCGGGAGGCTCCCTGTGGATCACTGTCAGGAGGTGTTTTCTACCTAACAGATGTCTGAGTGGTACAAGTCCCCTCAGGACAGGATCCTGAAGTTTACAATACCTACAGAAATGTTGCACAGCTCTTCCCTGCTTACTCTTCCCCTGACTCTCCTGACAATCTTTCCTCTGGATTTTCTGTGGTAGCTCTTTTTTACTTCAATCAAGTATTTGAGCCCCTGATGGGAGTGGGAACTGGGATGAAATGGAGAAGGAAAATCCTTGGGATTGAGGAACAGGCACATAGGTCTTCCAGGTCAGTCATTCCCAAGGAGGGAAGTCATTCCTTATCTGGGAGGCAAGGCAAGGGATATTTTACTTACCATCTTTCTACCTTCTCTCAGGATATTGATAGGTCAAAGAGCATCAAGAAGAGAGTGCCTAAGACAGTGTAGGGCCTTTGACTGTGCGAGAATCCACTACCAAATTGGAGAAGAGGAGATGGAAGGTAATACAAGGTCTGTGTTCAAGTATTTCTAGGGAAGAGGGATTGTAAATGTGTTCTGCTTGGCTGCAGAGAGGTAGATTTGGGCTTGAGTATAAGGAAAATTTTCCTGATGCTTAGAGCTGCCCCAAAGTGGAAAAGGTTGCTTTAGGAGGGAGTAGGTGTCCCTCACTGACAGCCTTCAAGTAGAAGCTGAATGGCTAGTTGTTGGCAATGACATAAGAGGAAATATTTTTGAGTTGGTGATTCTGTGAGTGGATGTAGTGAGTTCTTCTTCATTGGATGGTGGACAAGCACATGCTGGATGACCATTCACCATGAACTCAGTAGAAGAGATTCCTGTTGATATATGGCTTATACTAGTTCACCTCTCAGGTTCCTTGCAGATTCTTTGTCTCTGTCTTTACAACTTTTGGTCAGCCAGGCATGTGCCTTAAGGTTCAAACTGGTCCCACCAGCTCCCCTCCTTAATTGGCGAACACTTGTGTCTGCTTACTTCAGGGCTTTCTCCAGAGAGGTAGGAAAGAGAGTGGCCTCCTGCCTTTGGGGGCCAAATATCCCTCTGAGGTCCAGGAGAGCTCTCCTCCACGTAAACAAGGTATCCCAGCAAGGGAAATGCAGTTTAGTTCAAGAAACATTCCTCTCTGGAGCATCGATGAGCTTGGAGTATCCCCATACATCCGCCAAATAGCAAATTAGGAAGGAAGCAAAAAAAGCCCCAACCCAAACCTATAACAAGCGTGTTTTCTACTTTCCCTCCAGCTAGAGTTTCCCCAGTTCCTCAGAGATATTGTAAGACTGCAGAGGAGCTAAAAATAACTCTGGAGAGTTCTTTGTCCAGAGTATAGCCTCCAATTTGTAAGAGTGAGCATGTAGTCTTAGCTCAATCATGAGTAGCAAAGACAGAGAGACAACAGGAACGCTGAACTGCCATCAGGAAAATTGTCTGGCGATCAGAGCTGACTGTCTAGAGGCCCCAAGGTGTTTGTGGATGCCATGCCAAGGGTAACTTTAGTTTCTTCCTCACGACGAACTGCCACCAATTCATGGCAACTAGTCTGGAAGTCAAAAGAAATCCTTTAGCCTTTTCTGAGCTATGTGGCCCAAGGAAGTCACTCCCAGCTTGGAGCCTAGAAAATGGGGAGATCTCCTTCAGGTTGGTGGGGGTCGGCATGCCTGGCAAAACTTCAAGCCCCTACAAATGGTTAAACAGGCTGCCAGCAGGAAATAAGCAATCTTCCTTCTAGAAAGCATATGGCTGCCCACCAACAAGTTAGTAACCTCTTTGAAGGGAAGGACAGTGTCTGGTACTCTGGCCAGATCTTTCAAACACCTCACACTGTTCCAGGCCCCAAGGAAGCACACAATGATCCCATACTTAATAAACACGTACTACATCACAGGCACTGTGCTTAGGTGTTGGAAATACAAAGACACAAAATGAAACATCCCCTATCCTTATTCGGGGTTGGGGCGGGGGGAGGAAGTATCAGTGTCACGTAAACAGGTAAGCATGAGACAAGGTGCAGTGTGATGAGAGCAAAGGAGAGAGCCAGACAAACTGGCAAACTGGGGAAAAGGGCAAAGAGAAGAATGCTTTCTGCTAGGGACATCAAGGAAGGTATTTGTAGAGGAGTCAGCACCTGAGCTGAGGCCTGAAGAGAGGATTCTGAGACAAGAAGATATGTTGAGTTTGAGAAATGGCTAGTAGGCTAGTTTGGCTGGTGTGGAGGGTGAATGAGGAAAATAATGTAAAATAGATCTGGAAAGGTAGGCTGGAACCAGGCATCAGAGGGATTGAGTAACAGGCAAAGGTTTCTGAACAATGAACTGATATGGTGTCTTTGGAATATTAATTTGGTAGCTTGAGGAAGCTGGACTGGAGAGAGAGAAGCCAATTAGGAGGCTGTCATAATTGTCTGGAGAGGTGATGAGGGCCGGAACTCTGAGTGGGGGGGCATAGCTTGGAGAGATGCTGTGGGTTAGAATTGACATCTTGGCAACTAATTACATGTGGGGAGTGCAGGAGAGGGAAGGATCCAAGAGTATCCCAAGGTTATGAGCTGGAGAGCCTGGCAGAATGGTGGTGCCCTCCCTAGCAAGAGGAGAGTTAAGAAGAGGAGGCAAGTCAAGTGACTGCTGTCCATTCCTTAGCCATTCATAGATCAAGAGTCTCTGGGCATTGAAAGGGAAAGTGTTCAAACACATGTATTGAATGAGTTTCTCTGATATGACCATTATGGATGATTATAGACTACAGAGAAGCTTAGGACATTGGTCCCCTCCTCAAAGAGCTTGCAATCTAGTTTGGAAGAGAAGATACACAATTACAACACAGATGACTGGAGAGTAATCCAAAGCAGTGGGTAATAAAGTGGTCCCACAAAGTGGTGGGACTGCAAGGTTCCAGAAGTCTTTGGAGAAAGAAGAAATCACTAGGGAGCCTTGGTACCTGGGCAAGTAGAGGGGCAGGGCATGAGCAAATATGAAACAACATCAATGATTATTTTGAAAAAACCAAACTGACATTTTCAAGGCAACTTTTCTAATTGGGTTTCAACAAACAATGATTTTGTTTACATATAATCTTCAAAATTAAAGTTTGAAGGATATCTTCCTTGAATACATCAGATTATAATATAAGCATCCTATTCTCACCCCACACCTACTACATGTGTGGTACAGTGGAAAGATTGCTGGATTGAGCTGAAATCTCAACTCTCCCCTCTAGGCCTCAGTTTCTCATCTGTGAAGTGAGAGTTAGACTGGAGAACTTTCAAGCTCTCTATGACCAATTAATGCTGACCATTTTAAAATGAGCAAAGGCCAGTTTTCTACGAGAATAGGCAGGAAAAAATCCCTTAATATTTTTGTTGTTGTTGTTGTTTTTGTTTTTTTTTACCAAATATTGGGATTTCTGTAAACTTGGAGTAATGTTATTTGATGTAAATCCATGTATACATATTCAAATGAAAGCTTGAGTATTGAGTATAACTGTAGGTTCACCAATATCCTACAATGTATTATTAATCTTCATCCAGGTAAGATCACAGGAATTAGATTCAGAAGGGTCTTCAGAAATCAGTTGGTCTGACCCCTTCATTTTATAGAAATCAAAGAAATAAAAACCACCTGAGGCTCAGAGTGAGGCAGTAATTTGCCCCCAGTGACATAGCCATATAATAAGTAGCAGAGTCAGGTTCTGCAAGTCTAAAATCTTTTTTTTTTTTAGGCAATTGGAGTCAAGTGACTTGCTGAGGGTCACACAGCTAGTAAGTGTCAAGTGTCTGATCTGAGGCCAGATTTGAACTGAGGTCCTTCTGACTTCAGAGCTGGTGCTCTATCCACTGTGCAACCTAGCTGCCCCTACGGTCTAAAATCTAATGTCCTTTCCACCACACCAGACAATTTCAGGGAGGTGGTGAGGAGTATGGCATATCCAAAGAGTTAAGGAAAGGTAGGACGGCACCAGCAGAGAGCCAAGTATGTTACCCGAGAGATAAGATCTCTTACAGCACAACGTCTATCCCAAGTTTCTACTTTTACTTCCCTTCTAGACCTTCCCTGGACAGGAAACGGTACTCACCATGTCTGTGTCGGAGACAGGGCCAAAACTGGTCACGTAGATGTCCGTCTTGACTTCAGTGACAGTGTCTGGGGCAGAGAGGAGAGAGAAAGCATGGCACCACCATTTAAGAGCTGTTTGCCTTGGCCTAGAGAAGCTTTTAGTGCTTATTGCTAGTTGTGTTCTTTCTTAGCATGCCACCAGAGTGCTGAGCAAGTCAATCTGATTCCCACGACTACATCCTGAATGCTGGCCAGCAGTCACAGCCTGTCTTTGGGAAGGGACACCAACCACGTGAGTCAACCCAAAGAAATTCCTCTCTTGCCAAGCCTTATCTCTCAAAGGACCTTGTCTCTCAAAGGACAGTGTGCCTACTGTACAACCAGATCCATCCCTCTACAGAGTGATTCTGGGAAAATCCAGGAAGATGGAGAATGACCATATTTGCTAGAAAACTTGGGAAGTCTTGAAAATCTGCATCAAAAGAAAGGGGATTCCTTTGGTCTCAAACTCCCAAACCCCATTCAGTGTGATACCAGGCCTAGACCAGAGCCATGAGATGAACCTTTGAGGGAATGCGAGAGCCTTCCCTTGCCACAGCCATCCCCAGGAGGTACTGCTCTGGGCCCAGACATTCCCTAGTAATTTAGGAGGTTCCCAGTAGGCCAGGTATGCCAGAAGAACATCTAGGATTCTAGCTGGTTTGAGGAAATCTTGGAGTGGTGGGGGTGAAGGTATAGGAAAACAAAACCTCTTCCCTGAAAGGCAATATGATTCCCAAGATATTTGCCAACCCCGCCCCTCCCACCTAGGGCCATGCAGCAGGGAGTAGAAAAGCACAGCTATGTGCTATCTAGTCTCCTAGAGCCTAGAGATATGTGCAGCCCAAGCGAGAGGAGGAATACACACACACACACCGAGACTGGGAGTAATAGAGACAGAATTCATGTGTCTTGTTTATTTTGTTTTGTTTTTAAGAAGAGGGGAACCTAGAGAGGTATAATGCAAATGAGTTACAATCATGATAGTTTCAAGGAGGAAAGGTTAGTGAAACTAGGGCATTTAGCCTGGGGAAGATAACACTTGGGAGAGAAGGGAAAGGAATGATAATCTCGAATAATAATAATCTTGAAGTCTACACTGTCACCCTAAAAAGGATCTCCCAAATCCCCTTGAAATCTAAAGAAGACAAAAATGAAGACATAGTTTCGAGGGATGAGCAAACAATGGGATTCCTATCAACTAGGGCTGTCCCAACAGCTCCCCTATAACTGTAGGTGAACCCTGGATGACCAAGAATGCTGTGGAAGGGAGCGTTGCTCAGGTAGAGGCTGGACATGGCCTCTGTGGTCCCTTCCAACTTGGACATCCCACGATGATGTAAGTTGCACCCAAGGCCCCTGGCTAGGCACACAGTTGAACTTTTTGACTCTTAGGATGATGAAATGCTGGGCCCCAGTCAAAGGAGACTGAGCAATGTTTAAAAATGAAATAGCTGACCATCTGTCTAGGCCAGATGATCTCTTGAGAGCCCATCGGATCTATTATTCATGGCATTTCTCCTTGCAGATATATAGCTGTGCAAAATACATCATCTCCCATGATATTAATAAGCATTTATTTAATGTCTTCCTCCGCCAGCTGTGCTCCACCGTCAGTTTTGTTTATGGCAAACTGCTTCAGTCACCACTTCCTCCTGTACTTTCGGACAGTCCCAGAGGGTCCTATGGCCTACATCAGCCTCAGTGTTGGTTGAGGCCAGGACCAAAGGTGCTAGGAGTGGCTTGCTGGCTGATTGCCTACCTGCTTGCCTGTCTGTTGTCTCCCTTTAGGACTGCTTTTGAAGGAGTCCTTCCTGGAGTGGATACAGCTCTTCACAGCCAGCCCCCCAGTCAGCAGTCCCTTAGCTCACCTGTCACTCAGTTCTATTCCATTGCCTTCAACAAGCATCAGTAAGTGCCTACTATGTGCCAGGCACTGTCCTAGGTTCTGGAGAAATAAGGACATGAAGGAGAAGTAGTCCCTGACCTCAAGGAGCTGATATTCTATAGGAATCTACATTCCTGGCTAAGAAAAATGGATCCTCCTGATCCCTTCCTATGGATAGGGAATGGTCCATTAGGAAGAGCAAAGTTTTCCACCTAGAAGTCATCACCAGTTGCTTTCTTGATCTTCTCCACTATCCTCAGGTACCGACATCATAGAAATCTGAGAATGTCCAAGCTGGAAAAGACCTCAGAGCTCATCTAGTGCGATCCCTTATTTTACAGATGGACAAAAACAAGGCAAGAGAGGTTAAGTGACTTTTCCAAAGTCACCCAGCAGATTAATGGGAGATCTAGGCCTAGAAATGAGGTCTCTGGGATTTTGTTTGCCCCTTTATTGCCCAAAGCCTTATAGCTGCCTGATGAGAGCTTGGAAAAAAAATTACTCCCAGTCCTCTTGGCCTATTAATATTTGCAATACACTCTCTTCCACAGTTAACTTGTGAGGGAGACAGTACAATCATGACCTTCCATTTCACAGAGGAGAAAATAGACTCAAAGAAGGTAGGAGCCTTGCCCTTGGCTGTTCAATTTGTGAAGTAGGGTTTGAACCCACATTTCCTGCTTTCAAGTCCAACACAATTTTTTGTACAACAGGCTGCTCCCCCCCCAGAAACCATTCTATGGAACAACCTGGCTGGGTGTTGAAAGCACAGACAAAATTCAACCATGGGTGTTCATGTTTATGGCACTTTCAAATGGTTAAACATCAGAAACATATCATTTTAACAGGTGAACTGATATTAAAGAAGATGCATTAATATCTGCCTTGCTACTGAAAATTTCTATTTGTGTTGTCTCCCCTACTAGAATGTAAGTTCCTTGAGAGCAGGTACTGCCTTGCTTTTCTGCTTGTATCCCCAGAGCTTAGAAGAGTGTTTGGTACAAAGTAAGCACTTAATAAATGCTTTACTAATTCTTTCATTTGTGTTGGGGTGGGGTTGGTATAGTGCCTCCATACTGGCTATCTCTGTCCCCTGAAGTATAATTTTTAATGGAGTGCCTTATTCTCAAGAGTCAGGAGGATAGCGGAGAACCAGGATACATATAAGGGGCAGGGATGAGAGGTGGGACGAGGATCTGAGGCATTGGCCTAGAACAACTGCACATGGCCAAACTGGATGGCCAACACTTCTCTTCAGACTACAAGACATTGTATTGGCACAGGCAGGCTAAAGAGTGAGTGTTTATGGGCTAGACATTTCAAAGGAGGAGGCGCACACCCCTTAGCTATGCGGTCCTGTTGTCCTGCACTCTTCCCCACATACCTGGAGGATGTGGCCAAGAGCTCGTGTTGGGAATCTACTCAGGGCCTCTTCCTCAACAGAACCTCTCCTACAAGTGCTCTCCAGCTCCCCAAATCATCCTGGCCTAACTCATTGGGATCTCTCCCCTTGTTTCTCCCTACTGGATATTACATTCATCTGTCTACATGGCCCGAGTAGACTGTATACTACTTGAGAGGAGGTACAGTAGAATGGATAGAGGCCAGACTTGCAATGAGGAAATTCTTGTCTAAGTCCAGTAGCTCTCCCTGCTTTGACCTGAGGACTCTAATGGCTGAGTTTACAGAATCACAGCATTGGAGCCTAGATTGGCTGTATGACCCTAGGCAAGTCACTTATCACCTCAGTATCCCCAGGTAACTTTTTCCATAGAGCCAGAAGAGCTAAGCTTCAAATTGCGGCTGGGCTACTTATGGCCTGTGGTATTATGGGTAAGTCCCCTCATCTCTCTTATCCTCAGTTTCTTTTCATTGGTTCTTAAATTGGGGGGGGGGGGAGAGGGAGGTTCATGACCCCCTCCATGTTTAAGAAGTGCTGGAGGGGTCACTAGTGGAAAAAGTTTAAGAAGCCCTGTTTTAGGTGTAAGATGTAGAAGTTAGTTCACTTCTTCCCTTTCAGCTTTAAATCTATGATGCCTGGGGGTAGAGACAGCCATTTTTTTTCATCTCTGTATGCCCACTGCCTGGCAACAGGCCCTTCATAAATGTGTGTTGACTCAGGTTATCTATAGTAAAACCCCAGTGGAGGCTTACTTCAGGAGCTGAGAGACCACACTTTGTGGCCAGAAGTGAATGCATTATCTTTGCCCCCTACTCCTCTTCTCTTGCAAAGTTCACTATTTCTATATAAGGTACAAGCATCCTTAGAGTCTCCTGACTTATAATCTCACCGTTATCTTGAACTCTTCACTCTCTCTCCTCCCACATAGCTAATCAATTGTCAGATCTTCCCATTTCTACCTCGACCCCATCTCCCACATCTGACCCTTTTCCTCTCCCCATCTAGCTACCACTTTAGTCTAGGCCCTCATTGCCTCTTGCCTCTTGCCTGGATTGTTGCCACAAACCTCCTAATCATGCTCCCAACCTCAAGGCTCTCATCGCCCCACTTTATCATCCACACAATTGCAACTATGACTTTCCTTAAATACAGATCTGACCATGTCCAGCCCTTACTGGGTCTCAACTCTAGCGGCTTCCTATAGCCTCAGATCAAACATAAACTCCTGTTTGACTTCTGAAAGGCCCTCTCATGATGTCTCCAGCACCAGCCCCTGAAACATTACTCTCTTTTCCACACTGCGATTCCACTGAACTAGCATCCTCCTGTCCTTCACACATGACACTCCATGCTTTTGCATTGGCCATGTCCTATGCCTGGAATGCCTTCCTCCAATGTGCAGATTAAGCACCCCCCTCTTCACCAGCCTTTGTGATCTGCCCTTCTTCCCTAACTACCTTGTAGACACCTACTTTGTATATATTTCTATGCATTATTTTTATATTTAGTCTGTGTGCAGTTATATATATTTATGGTCTTCCCCTTAGGAAGATTAGCTCCTTACAAATTGTGTTTCATCAATTCTTAGTCCTATATCCCCAGGGCTGGCACATAGTAGGCACTTAATAAATGCCTGTTGACTGATTAAAATTACAATAGGGAATGGGCTCCCAGGAGCCTGAAAGAGGGGGGCCCTGAGTTTGCCAAGTACCAGGCAATGACAGGAGCAGAGGTTTTTAGGGGAAAGGAACATTGAAT